ATAAACAAAGCAGTTTCCCAGAACTCAATGCGGCGTTACGTCACAATCTCAGTCCTAATTAATATTGAATTGCAACTCCCAAAAAAAAAAAAAAAAGTAACCTGTGGGCGAGGCCAACACGGAGGGGCGTTTCCGAATGCGTCACTGGACTTACTGACGTCACAGTGGCACTCCGTTTCGAGGTGGCATCATGTTTTTGGGAACATTTCCCATACAGAAAAGATGGTCAGGATCCAAGCCAAATTTCATTCATTTTCTTTAAGAGACTAAGGACTACTGCACCAGTTTGGAGAATATGAAAAAGCAGCAAAGACGACTTGTAATATTTTACGAATATGCAGTTTGATTCACGAATCGATGGTTTGTACACTCTGGAATGTTATGTACATTTTTGTAAACTTTGTCCTGGTCAATAAAAAAAAACAAAAAAAAACAAAAAAAATCAATCATGTTTAGAAAAACCCACAAGTTTGAAGTCACCAACTTTTGCTCTGCAGAGACCCCACATTCCAAAAACGCTGAAATACAAACAGTTTTATGAAGTGTTTTACTATACCTTACTTTATTACTCCATAATGGAGTTCTTAGGTTTGCATTGAGCTACTGCTCTGGTCACGGAATGCCAGGAGAGACAAGGTAAGATCTAGGTGTAGTTTATTGAAGGTAACAAATGATCAAAACGTGGCAAAAAGGGAATCAGATAACACGAAGAACATTAAACCACTATGAACTCGGAAGACAAAATAGAATATAGCAGCAATGACAGACAGAGAGCATGGTGTATATATATAGATTGGATAATGAGTAAATGACTAACAGGTGAATAAGATCGGAAATAATAAACAGGTGCTAATGATCAGACAAGAGACTATGGGAAATGGAGTTCACAATCATAACACAAAACAGAAAGAGCGCCCTCAAGTGGCCAGTCCAGGGCACCACAACCAGACACTGTGACATTACCCCCCCCCCTCCATGGAGCGGATACCAGACGCTCCACCAGAACACACAAAAGGTCAGGAGGGAGGTGGAATTGAGGCAGACCAGGGGGAGGGACGGTGGGCCAGGACCATATAATGGAAGGGGGCCAGGGGACAGAGCTAGACCAGGGCATGAGCACAGAACCGGCAGGGTGAAAGGCCAAGGCGGGGCCGACTGGATGAACCAGCAAGGCCCCATCCACAGGAATCCCAGCAGATAGCCAGGATGGAGCCGGAGGAATGAGCCAGTCAGGCTCCTGCCAAACAGGAACCCAGGCGGGCAACCAGAGCAGAGCCGGAATCCTGCCAGGCAACACTGGTGGAACAGAAACCCCTCTCAGCGACTCAGAAAACTGTAAACAAGAGCAGAGAGAGTTTAGTACCAGCCTCGATGGCTGCAACAGGACAGGCCGATTGAGCCGCAACGGTCCTTGTGAGCTCCCAGACTGGAGTGAATTCCTTAATGAGCTCTGAGAGCTACCGAACTGGAGCGGGCTCTGAATTGGACCTTATGAGCTCCCGGACTGGAGCGGGCTCTGGAGTGGGCTCCCGGACTGGAGTGGGCTCGGTGGGTTCCCGGGCTCTGGAGCGGGCTTTCCTGTCCTCCTTCTCACCCTCCGTCGCTTAGTGGGAGTATAGGGGTGGTGGGAAAATCCCCGCGGAAGGGTTCTGACTGGCCTGGTTCTGCCCACTGACCTCGACCCTGGAGATATCTGACGAAGCCCCAGAAGTCCAGGATCTCAAGTCCTTTCATCTCCCACTGGGGGAAAGTATCATCCAGACAGACGTTAAGGAGGTCCTGAGGTCCTTAATCATTATAATTTAGGCCCACCGCCAACATCCAAAAGGTCTGGGCAAAACCACCAACCTCCATTCCTTCCTTCCTTCCT